TTCGCACTCGTCATCAGGGGTCGGGGGGTCGAGGGGTCGAGAGTCGAGCCTTTCCCTGAGCCCTCTGTTCGCATCGTTATCTTACAGCCGTTCTAAATGGGTCCTGTAACTCGTCAGCAGACCATATGTAGAGGCTTGAAGAGGAGAGCAGTCAGTGACGCACCTGGGCATAAGTTATTTTCGAGACGAGGCGGAGCGGCCCTCCGTCATGGTCCGCAGAATGGTATAGTCTTAGTTACAGGCAGACAGTTTGCCTGGGCATGGTGTATGAGTGTGTATGGGACACAAGTACATGTATATAAAAGATGGTGGCAACTGGCAAGTGACTTCGAATTCGCGCCTGAATACGGTGGCGGCGTGGCGTTTAGTTTGCGCTCTGTTTGCGCTTGTTGAATTCGGAAGGTCTCGCCGCCACCCACGTGGTTAACTTCCCTACGCCACAATTTGGGACTAAGAGCTTGAACTCAGTGGAAATACTTATACCTGAAGACGTGTGTACGTTCAAAAAACTTGGCTCGATCATTGATAGGTACCAGGGAAGAGGAAATCCCAATTCTTACCTTTGTTCTTAAGTTACATAAGTACATGATGGTACTGATTCATCAGTGCACACGATCGACCGGCGAATTTACAGCCTACTTATCAAGAAAACATTATCATAAACATAAACACCGTGACATCAAGACCAACTCGAGGCAATCAAACATCCACCATCCCACCGCTTTACACCCAAACTGCAAAACCCAAACACCCAAACATCTGGCCCCGGGGGAGCTGTCCTTTGATGACCTTATACTTACTAGAACTACGCCTCGGATCGTTCAATCTCCAAGTGCAAAACCCTTGATCCCGAGGTTGATCTATCATCTCCAGGATAATGGGTGCTTATAATTACTCCATAGCTACAGCTCAAACTTCGTCGATTCATCACTACCCACTACCCACTGCAGTGCCTAGACGCGACCGATGTAGGCATGTAAAGAACCTCGAACAAAAACCTTGTGCGTAAGCTCGGGGCCGCCGCGTTTAAATTTTAAATCATGCACTCACACACTCGTCGATGTCGTCGATGTTCATAAGCCGTCTCAAAAATCTGTGCCAAACTCGAGCAGAGTCGTCACCTCGATCTCGAGCACCAACGGCTAAAAGGATGTGTTGCAATTGGTGACCTCCGAGCCTTTGCTCCTCTGTAAGTAAAGGCAAGTAGTCACCGTAGCTATGCAAAGATATCCCCATCCTGACCATCATCAACCTACCCTGACACTGACGCTGACAGCCCGCAGTGATACCTCTCCTCTCCACTCCCCTCCCCTCCACAAAATCCCACTCTACCCCACCCCACCCCACTAGACATACTCGGTACACATGCGTATATATGCACGAATGCACAAATATAGATGTCGCCGTGACACCCAATGGCCGACCGACGTTGCACAGTACACTTATTGATAACTAGACCGAGCGCGAGCGCTGATTCGAACTTTGACCCATAGGTCATCAAATTTCAATGCATCACCGTTACGCGTCAAACCGTCAAAGCACCATCACCGTCAAAGGATCACCGTCAAACCCAGCAAACCACACTGAGTAAGTATCATAAAACCGAGTCTGAGTATCCGTATCCGTATCCGTATCCCAAACATCCAGTCCCAGTCCCAGGGGCCAGTACCGGTCCCAAGCGTAGTACAGTATGAAATAAAACATGCATGATCGTCATCCGGGTCGAGACATGACTCAGCTTTGAAGGCTGCGTCGACTAGTACTTAGTAGAGGCAAATCATCAATCATTACCCTAATCAATCGCTAGTACACTGTGGGCGACAGACTAGCACTAGTATTGACATGGCTGTCCAAACCCTTCAAGTTCCAACGACATGCCAGTGCATGGCCATGGACCACTGTAACAATCGACGGTAAAGTTGGAGGTGCGCGCGGCCGCTGTGGACTCTATGCTATAAGGCCGCCGGGACGATTGTGATGTGGTGCTCGATATGATGCGAGATGCGAGGTCTCCGCGCTCATAAGTTAAATAGACAGTACGCAGTCGTCGTCGTTCGTCGTTCGTCAGTGACGGATAGACCTTATTCACCACACAAGGATATTCAGCAGGTTTGGTTTGGTTTGGTTTGGTTATATAAATCAGCTTACGTAGTATAGGTTAGAGCTCCCTCAGCTCCTAGTACTGTATGCATAAGTACCCTGTGCGCATACCAACCGGACGATACAGGTAAAGGAGATGTACATCGTCATTCGTGGGTCAGCGCCTGGAAACAAAGCAGCTGTGAGTGGGGAAGCGCATACATACGGTTTGAAAGCTCGAGCAGAGAAAGAGCAAGATGGGGATCCGCGCTGGTCGGTTAACTATGATACAGTACAGCTGATGAGCGGCGTGCGGTTGGACAGCGCTAACATCGATATCAGCATGTGGTGTGTGAGGTGTGGGGCGGGCACAGCTTGCTTGCTGTAGAGTGTGATGACCGAGTCCGACGAGTATGAGCGGGCGTTGGTGGGCGGAATACTGTGGTGTGATTGGTTTGGGTCAGCCAGTGTGAGCAAGAATGAGAACGAGAATGAGAATGAGAATGAGAACGAGAGTGTGTCTTCGCCGTGGATGTGCGAATGTGCGAATGTGAGCAAAACAAAGTGGCAGTAGCCTGAGGAAGGAGAGGGATATGCATATGATTCAGCGAGGGAGGAAGAGCTCGCTTACAATGTACATACATCGCAGTTGCACTTTGTAACAATCCTCATCCAAACCTTCAAATCTTGAAATATCCTCTCCCAACGCCCAACGCGCTTCTGAAACCCAATCGTATGTGTCCAACCATCGCGCGCGCGCGCCGACCCCGTCTCCCAGCACACCGCCTTGCCTTGCCTTGCCTTGCCTAATCCCATTCCATTCCCTAATCACAATACCCAATCCCCAATCAAAGCCCCATACGGCCATACGAACGACCGCAACCAACAGCCTCATCATACGCTCCCAGCCAAGTATGTAAACCCGTAAGAGTGAACACTGAAAGAAGCAAAGAAGAAAGATATTTCCACGGACCACGGACCACGATGCTCCCCTCGCCGACGTTCTCAGGCCCTTCCTTGAAGTTCAGCTCGTTCGCGCTCGGAGGGGTAAGGGAGAGAAAGTCAGCGACCACTACCACTAGCGCCGGTGCCGTCAATAGCAGGCCTCCGTCCCCTTCGACTTCTTCCTCTCACACGCACCACCACTCGCATTCGCACCACGCATCGACATCGACGTCCTCCGCCGCGTCATCGTCCGCAGAGCACAACGCCCCTGTCCACGTCCACAGTACTCCTAGCAACAGCACCCGCCCTCACTCACCCGTCTCCTCATCCTCTTCAGACTCCTCACCAACACCCTCACCAGCACCCTCACCGTCACTCCGCTCCATACGTTCAAGTTCCCTCCCACGCCGTCGTCGTCGTCTCGCGCGTATCCGGTCCTCGCTCACGCCCAGCCTGAGTTTCCGGATCTCGAGCTTCAAAGTCCAATCATTGACACGGAACGCCAGTACTCCGCCAAGCAACAGCCACACACCCAGTATCAGCAACACCCCCAGCTCGAGCTCGCCGCGCATCCCAGCTGGAGAGGATCTCAGTACCAGTCGAGCTATAGCTAATAATAGTGGTAGCAGGACGGAAGAAGGAAGAAGGAAGAGAGGAAGAAGGTCCAGGGAACAGCCGTGCGAACGCGGACCGAGAAAGGAATTCGAATATCAATATCAATATGGCCATGGAGGAGCCTGATTCGCACGAGCAGGGACACTCGCAGACGCCAGGCAAGTTTCCTCTCGCTGATCAATTTGCTGCAGCCTGCATCTGAGACTGACGCCCGTCGTCTCAATCCAGCGCCCGTCCGCATCTCTTCCCCTCCGCCATCGTCAGCTACAGCGTCTACGTCTACTCCACCCTCATCCCACCGGACGAGCCTCGGCCCAGCCGGTTTCCTTGCCCTCCTCCGTTCTCGTAGGGGCTCACAGTCTATCACACCCACACCCGCCGCCCTCGACATCCATTCTGCGAACAACAATAATATCAATAATAATTCAGCAGCAGCGACCAACAACAACAATAACCACTCGCCGCCGCGACAACCCGGAGCAGCCCGAGACCGCGAGGCACGTCGCCGCACCATCGCCGTAGCCGGCATCAGCAGCACCATCAGCTCTCCTTCCTCGAGCTCTACACCGCCCACCGCCGCTTTCTTCCCCACCAGCCCCACCACCGCCGACACCTCAAGTCCCTTTGCCTTCTCGCCCCCTTCGACTCCTCCTTCGCTTCCTGCAGCTCTACCAGCTTCGGCTTCGAATACGCCCAATATGCCAGCGCCAAGCGTAGGCCACGGCTTCACGCAGATCCTCCGCCGTCGTCGCTCCAACGGCGCCATCGCACCCGCCTCCCCTCCCCAACCTTCCCACGCAAACGCCAATGCTCCCTCCTCCAACACCAACAACAGTAACAACAACACCAACAACAGTCAACCAGCAGGCTCGAGGACCGCACCGCTGCCTTTCGCCTCGGTACCGCACGGTATCGCCTTTGCTTCCTCAAATGGTAATAGTAATGGGGGTGGCGGAGGAGGAGGAGGAGGAGGAGGTCATCTATTCAGTTTCGGACACTCCCCGCCTAATAGACCCGCAGTCCCTCCATCAGCCAATACCCGCGCCCAATCCATGCCCGGACCCAACTCCTCCTCCTCAAACGCCACCCCCACCGCCGCCAACCCTCACCCCACCTCCACCTCCGCCTCCGCCTCCAATGCCGCTAATGGAGGACAAGGACAAGGACAAGGACAAGGAGGCCAAGGGAACAGGCACCGCATCCGCCTAGTCCCACACATCGATTCCCGCCGTTCATTACGCTTCGAGCCCATCATGCGCGACGTGCTCGAGAACGATGCGCCGCTTCGAATCGGAAGGTTCACAGACCGGAGCGGTATGGGCGTCGCTGCGGCCAACGCGACAGGCTCTAACAAACTCGCGTTCAAATCGAAAGTCGTCTCTCGCTCACATGCCGAGATATGGTGCGAAGGTCCTCCTTCACTCAGCGCGCTCAACCCCGGCCCTTCACCCTCACCCAACAACGGCAACGGCACCGGCGTCGCGGCGAAGTTTTATATCCGCGACACGAAGAGTAGTTCGGGGACGTTTTTGAACCACGTCAGATTGAGCGCTGCGAATTCGGATTCGAGGCCGTTTGAGCTTAAGGATGGGGATACGTTGCAGTTGGGCGTGGATTATCAGGGGGGGACGGAGGATATCTATAAGTGTGTGAGGATTAGGGTTGAGATTGGAAGGGAGTGGCAGGCGGGGGCGAATGTGTTTAAGTGAGTGTCTCTTTTCTTTCTGGCTATTGAGGGGTTTTGCGTGGGGTTTTTTTGTTTCTGTTTCTGTTTCGTTGTTTTCTTTGAGGGGGAGGTCTTGGGGAGGTCTTTTGGGTCTTATTCCTCCGCGGCCCATCGCCCATCGCCCATCGCCCATCGCCCATCATGGCGGATCACCTACACGTGCTACGTCATGCCATGCCATGCTCCTTTGATGGGACGTGCATTGTTGTGTCGTCTATATCAGGCAAGCATATAGCTGCAAGGCCATGTTCGTGTCCCTTGGACGGCGAACTGATACTTTGTGGCCGATGCTCTTCTCAATCCTCTTCCGTTCATCTATTCATTCCATCCACCCCGCTGCATCCCTGCATAACAGTCCACTTTAACTAACTCACACCTCCTCTTCTCCCCAAATAGCACCAACGCCCTCCGCCAACTCCGCGCCCTCGCAGACGTCACCACCGCGCCTCTCGCCATCAATACGACGGGCAAAGCGCCGGGAGGGGGCACGATTGCGAAGAAAGCGATGCCGAAGAGTGGGTTTGCGGATTGTTGTATATGTACGTCTACGTTTTTCCTGCCCCGTCCATCCATATTCTACACTGTTCTGACCACTTTCTAACCTTCCTCGCCCTGTCTCCGTCTCCGTCTCGCACGACCCATCCTACCCCTCCACTTCCTCCCTCACTTCATCCCGTTCTCGCATGACCTATGTACACCCAGGCCTCTTCTCAGTAACGATCCAACAAGCCCTCTTCATCGCCCCCTGCTCCCACGCCTTCCACTACAAATGCATCCGACCCCTCCTCGAAACACATCATCCAGCATTCTCCTGTCCTCTCTGTCGGACGTTCGCGAATCTGGAGGAGGACGTCGAGGTGGATACGGTCTCGTTGAACCTTAAATCCGATGACGATATTGCGGAGTTGGGAGAGATTGGGACGCCGGTCGTTGAACTAGGTGCAGGTGGGATTGGAGGAGGAGCAGGTGGGATTGGAGGAGGGGTAGGAGGGATCGGAGGAGGAGCAGGCGGGATTGGAGGAGGAGGGATGGGAGGGGCAGGGATCAATATTGGGGGACAGACACCGGTCGCGCCGGGGATATTGGCGCTTGCGACGGCGGCTGCTACTCTCTCAGCTCGTGAAAGGGAAGAAGGAGGAGCGGGGGCGGAGACTGAAGTCGAAGAAGGCGCGGGGGCTACCGTTGGCCGTAGGGGTCGAAGGACTCGCAATGCTAACACCAGGGGGTTACCGGAAGAAGAGATGATGGAGATGGAAATCTCGGACGAACATGAGTTTGATGGGTTGATGGATGAGGGGTATGAAAGGGATGGGTTTGAGAGGGATGGCGAGGGCTTGGAAGATTCGGCCTTTGTCGATGCAGATGCGGATGGATATGAGAGGGAGGAGGAGGATGTGGGGATGCTTGTTGATGGTGATGAGGGGAGCGGGAGTGGGAGTGCGGATGGGGAGGGGAGTGAGTTGTCTGGGGGGATGGGTGGTGGCGCAGGGACAAATGGCGGAGGGAGTGGGAGTGCGGTGATGGGCAGAAGGGGGGAGGAGGGGGATAGGGTTGTTAAGAGGAAGCGGTGAGGAGGTGACGCACCGATAGATATTTACTTCCCCGCGGCGCATCTATTACGCTCTCCTTTCTCAAATTCTCATCCCTCGTCGTCCATCTATCTCATCATCCTGCTCGGATTTTGCCTCCAGTCCCGTCCCGTTTCGACCACCTACATATACATATACTTTCTCGTCCCCATGCACATTTCTCTGTACATATATTCACATTCACTCCCATTCCCGTTTCCCATCCCATTCCTCTCCCGATCCTTCCGTTACCTTTTCCCTTTCTACCTTTCTTTCTCCCTGATTACCTTCTTTCCGTTCCCTCTTGACCTTCTTTCCGTCCCCTTTTGATATTTTGGCCTTTCGATCTGTCCAGTTCCGCGTCCCGTCTCGTTATTATTCCCTTTCTTTCAATTATTCTCGTTCATGTCTTATATCACGATCAATGATGACCCTTCAACCCCATTGCCCTCCTATATCGTCCCATTGCCATTGCTGGCCCCGGGCCCAACATCGACGATGCGGACCACCACCAGCGCATTGCACTGCACCACCGTCCTACTGCCATCGTGCTGCACCACGCCACGCCACAACATAACATAACACAAACCCGAGTCGAGCAGAGTGGAAGTCTTGATAGTGGTTTGGGTCGCTCACCGTCACACCATACCATCATACCATCCTACCTGAGGCCAGCGGAGACCTCAGGCCTCATTACCGACGACGTCGAGGATGTCCTATGTTCTACCATCGCACGATTCACCACGCCACACTATAGTGACGGTTCTCCCTGATCATGACCTGGCGGTGAGGACCCTCCCTTGACGGTAAGTCGGTAACATTGGCAGTGACTAGTCAATCCCACAATCACACCCTCTCAGTTTGGTTGCGGTTTGGACTTCTGGACTTCTGGACGCTCTACGTCCTCATCCTCATTCACATTCACACTTCCATCCCCAAACCCCAAACCCCTCCATCCGCCTGCACACCTACGGACCCCTCCCTCCCTCCCTCCATCTACCCGCCCACGAACCATCCACCCACGGACCACCCAGCCACGGACCCGCTCGCCCACCCAATCTCCGTCTCATCTCATCTCGACAATCTCATTCTTGCGGCTTGCCTACACCGATATCTCGGTCTCCTCCCGGCCATCGTCGTCTCGGTCCTCATTCGCTTCGCTCGTGTTTTCCCGCCCGTCTACATTACATTACATTCCTTACATGACACATCTACATAGTGCATTATTCCGGTTCGGTTCGGTTCGTCATTGTGTTTGGTGAGATTATGGTGGCCGTCTAAAATACCCACCCCCACATATATACATCAGGTTCGTGTTTCAGTCCAGGAAGTGTACATATACATATCGGATCGTGTTTGTCTATTATCTTTCCTTTTTTTTAAGCCTTCGACATTGTGTGCGTGTGCGTGTGTTTTCTTTCTTTTATTTGCGTATGGTCTGGTCTCGTAAGTATTGTGCATTTTGGATTGTCGGTTGTCGGTTGTGAATTGTGAATTATATACTTCCTCCTCTAGCTCTCTGATTAGATACTCTCTGACTATGGAAGCTTCAATGAGTGTGTGAGGGTGTGGGTGAGGACACGAGGGCAAGAGTAAGTCATTGCTAGCACTTAAACGCTTATATGGTCAGAAAGGTTTGTTTTGCCGTGGTGTGGGTTGGCCACTTACATCCACTCGTGGAGGGTCGAAAGTAAAGAACGACATAGGGGATGAGCGATTCTAGTAAGGCGGAGTCTGAAATTTCGCAAATTGCCTCTACTTACTCACTGCAAGCACGGTCTGTTCTTCCTCACTCGCCACCACTCAGTACTCGCTCAGATGGCACCAACATTCAAATGGCGGTGGGCACTCCTCTGATACTATCGTCTTCCGCTCTTCCCAGGTTGCGCGTAGAACGTTCATGTATAAGTATACCCCCTTTTTTTACCTGATCCCTCGGGTTTCATGGAGTGATAGAGTTGGGAAGTCGTCCATGAGCATCACTGCTACGTGTGACTATCCATACAGGGACCGCTCACCCATGAGAGGAAGTCTTTCGGTCCGAGACTGCCAGTGACGGCTGACCTTCTTCAAGTTCATCAAACTATAAGGGCCGCATGTTCACGTTGGGTTATTGTTCCTCGCGAAGCAAGCCTCGACTATGGCCAACATATCAGTCAAACAAATCGTCGATCCTACAGGTGAGTTTGGCCATCCCTCTCCAGATTCGAGACGTATCGGCTCATTGGCTCGCTCAAATATGCCTCAGATGAAGAACTCGACTCGATCGTCTCGTTAGTGGTGAGAGCCTTCGATGGACGTATGTCTCATTTATCGTCAACTCGCCGTAGTGACTTCTCGTCGACGATTCACGAATCATACCAACAGAGAACGTTGTCAACATGTTTACTGGGAATAACCTGACCCTCGCTGAGCCCTTGTGGCGCGCACACGTCCTGGCTGGTCTCCACCATGGCGAAGTGTGGGTCGCCACAGATGGAACGGCGGAGATTATGTCGGTGGGAGTGTGGTTTCTCCCCGGGCACGAGCTATACGGAACGTAAGTTTGTGTGCAGATTCCCGCTGTCCGCCGCGTCCTATTATGAAATGTTTTGTACAGCGAAGAGCTTGAGGAATATTTCACTCTTCTGTCGGATGAAGCTATCAATTGGTGGAGAAACATCGTGAGTTTTACTACGTCTCTGCTGTCTTCGCCTTCTCAACTACTTATATTCGATAGTCCAGGCCGAAGGTTGTTGGCTTTTTTGAGAAATATCTGGGTGAAAAGGTCTGTTATCGGTATGAACTTGAGACTGTTAAATCTCTGATCTTCATATTCCATCGACAGACGAGGACAGACAACTGGTTCGCGCAAATCATTGCTACCCATCCGGACTACGAAAGACGAGGACTAGCCTCTGCTCACATAGACGCCGTATATCATAGGGTATTTCCGTGGTTCTTCAACACTCGAATTCCCGCATCTCGCTCACACGAATTGATACAGGCTGTCAGGGAAGAATCTTATCTCGCGCTTGGAGCAGCTGGAAAGGCGCAGGTGCGAATTTACACGCTCGATAACAACTGCTATGCGATACGTTCTCACCGCCCTGGCTCTTCAGGAAGCCTTCTATCGCTCCAATGGCTTCAAGGAGTTGGGCCGTGTTTCGAGTCAGACGGCTGATTGGGTGTGTTTCGTGAAGGGCAAGGGCATCTGAGTGTGAATGGCTCCGTAGTTCTGGTTGCCTCGTTTTATACTGTACGTCGTTCTTCGTATATTCGTAAGTTGCTGTACATACCATGGAATGTTTGCCTGTGTGGCATCAGCTCCATGTGCAAACAAGTTGTCCATTTTTTCTGATACTCGTGTTTCGATGGAATCCAATCCCCGGGTCAATAATAGTTTGGATCAGAATGAAATGGACGTATGAGACCGAGACCGAACAAATCGTAAGGGGCATGAGCGCCTCGCAAATCGTCTGAAAGTCTGCGATGTCAGGCTCCTCAATGACAGTCCATGTAAACGGACTGATGTACGTACCATGTAGGTCCCAAGACTGAGCAACAGACCTCGTTCTTAGTTGGGGGCATATCTCCGCTGAACCATAGTGATGAGGACCGTATCCCACACGAGCAGAGGCTTCGAAAACGCCGCTATGTCCGTTGCACGAGCGGGATCCTCAAAAGGAGACGGTTGAGGCAGGTCGCTGAGATCGACAGGGACATTGGTAATGAAGAGCTTCAGGAATCCGACGTCGATATTCTGTTCGGGACGGAGGTAGTACGTGAAAGGCATTCCTCCGCCTGCACCGTATCCAATTGTGAGGGAGCCATTGGCAGGGATAGACGGGTCTATATGGTTGTTTATCCCGAGAGGAGGCTGGTAGTACGGGACTACCAAGTAAAATATCAGAATAAATACATAGACATGATGACCAAGTAATAGGACTCACGGATGCTGAAATCACTGTTATCAAAGTAGAATGCGGAAACGTACAAAGGAGTCGCGCTAATGTTCGATACCTTGAATCCATACATCTTATTCCCGCCATCTCCAACAATGAGGTCAACAACATTGGCTGGGTTGAGATCGACGAGGGGTTCCACCGGTTTCAATATCGGTCGAAGCTGACCATCCCATCCGTCATTCTCCTGCATCAGTTCGTGGAACTCGACGCGCACTAGGCTAGATAGACCGCGAGACTCGGAGGCAGGAGCCGAGCGTTTAAGATGCCAATAGTAGCGTGCAGCGGACCGTATGACTGGGTAGATCATATCGACATCGGGTGGAAGGGTGTTGGGAAGTCTAGAGTGTCCGTATTGCGTGCATGCGCCCTGGGGGACATTGAAGACTACTCGATTCTCCTGGTCCAGTGAGACGTCAAGATCGGCAGTGTCGTCGTCGACTAGAAGGATCCCTTGTTTTTCTCCCGACCTGCTCTGCATATCCTCCGCAAGTTTCTTGAACACAGGAACGAGCTTGTTGCTCATGACGATACGAACTCGTAGATCTTCTTCCTCCCCTGCACGAGTCTGTATTGCCCATCCCTTCTCATCGAACTGGCCCTCCAAGAAGCCGGTCAGAACTGTTTCGAATGCTGCAGGCTTTCCTTCAGCTACGAGAATCCCAATTCTGTTCTTTGGATCTGTAGACGCGTCGGGCGTCTGATAGATAGCGTACTGACTGCCCTTCGTGATGCCTACGGCCGCACCGGCGCCCATGGTATACACAGACTTGCCTTCGAACGTGCTGACCCGTACTGGGTACATGGTACGGCTCTGGCTCGGTGCTTTGCCATCGAACAGAAGACGATCGCGATGGTCACCCTCGCAGTGCGGATTTTGCCTACCATATCATACGTCAATACTACATATAAGCAGACATCAATGGATGTATGGAGTGATCAGAACACTTACCCGGGCAGATCGGGAAGCCTCTTCATCAGGTCGGAGTAGGTCAATTTCTCCGCTCCGACCCTGTACAAAACTTCCAACAAAGCCTTCGTGAACCAACCCCTGCACTTTTGCTCTTTAGCATACTCGTCTGCTCCACAAGCCGCCAACAGAATATGTGACCCGAGTGCCTGACCCTGGCAAGCAGGTGCGGCAGCGCGGGGAACGATTCGTTGTGTGTTACCCAAGACGTCTTCGTCGAGGTTGCCCGGGAGAGAATTCTTGCATTCAATGCTTCGAACAAGTAGGCTTGGATCGTTTTTGTCTGCTCTGGTTCCGGACGCTGCGTGACATTTGTCGAAGATGACGGTCTGATGGCCAGAAGAACGTGACACCATCAATAAACTATATCTCAAAGAGAGTAACGGACAGCGTATTCAAACCAGTCGGTAAAAGATGCTTACAATGTTGTTTCCCTTCGCTTTCGACAGCTCATCCAACAAATACCCTAGCGTCACATCTGCAATCGGCTGCACCGTTTCACCATCATAATCATACGGCACAAGCAGCTGGATCTTCGCATTCCGTCCCCCTGCCATCTCTGTCCATTGACTCGGAGCATTCGCGCTTGCTCCATGGCCTGCAAAATATATCAAAATAGGATCTCCTCTATGAATCCTCGTGTTCATGTACAAGGACTTCCATGATTCGATGATGCGGCTGCGTGTGGCATGTGAGTTGTAAAGGTTGATAATCTGGTCATCGGGCACGTTCAGTTCCTTTCGAAGATAGTTCTTCATGGCTTCCGCATCCGCGACGGCACCATGGAGCTTTGCGCGGTCAGGATATTCGTCTATACCGATTATGAGGGCGTAGAAAGGTGGAGCGAGTCTGCTCAAGACACATATGAGCGTGAGGGTGATTTCGGATAGCTCAGCGATATGAAATTCCGTCTTACACTGGCTTGGCGGGTCTTGCCAAAGGTTGCCCAATGGAGTTGGATGTAGGCTGCTTGCCAGCGGACGAAGACCTATACGACGTAAGATCAGGCTTTGGTGCCATGGATATAACGCTTCGGTGGTTACATACTTTGTCTGTTTGGATCTGTAACTGAAAACGAGGAGTCTACTGTCTGGTCATCTTTCGGGTAAGGGCTCTTGTGGTACGCACTTGTCACGGCTAGCGTCACTGCTAGAAATACCAATCGTCATTCGGCTTACTTTAAATGGATCGAGGGCGATATACTCACAACAAAACGATCCAAAGCAGTTGCGCCATCGTCTCCACAAGCCTACGTATCCCATCTATCTCGAGGAATATTCCTCCATTCGCAGGGCTCTTATGTTCCATTTCGTAGTAGAGGGATAAGAAAGGTTTGCAAACTCGATGGGGGATGACGGTAGGAAGTCCACATTTACCTCGTACTTATAACAGACGTACCAGACCACATGGAGCAATTGAAGCACTGAATATTCTGCAAGGAGATATGGGTTGAGGGCAGGTGTCCTAGAGCGCCCTAAGGACAACTTTAGAACGAAGCAATCGCATAGGCTCGAGCTTATGCCTTCAAAGTCCTAGTATATCGGTCACAAGTTACAACACGCAGTCCGTGTCCATGCTGCCTCATACCTGTCATAACCTACGAGCATGCCCGCACCGAAACAAGCCAGCTCGAACCCGCAATGCACCCTGCAACGTGGATAGACCGACAAGCAATAATTATTAAGCTATAACCCACGTCGAAGCTCTGCGTTTCATCTCATGGAGAGAACGATGCCAGCGTCATACTTGGGGGGTTCGTCGTATGAGACTAGTGTGTGTAGACCATATTACGGCACGGGCCAATGGGAAAATATTGCAACGGAGAAGGCATTTTTGCGTGGATCAACGACAAAGAGGTACCTAGCGTTTTCCCACTCCACCGGAGGTAGACTCTGGATTCGAATCTGTTAACACGTTCCCGCGGCGGGATAAAAGAAGCTGGTTATAATTGTTGAACGACTTTCCGATACCGGTGTAGCGTATAGCGGGAAGATTGAGGCAGCTAAAGTGTGAAGGGGTGTGAAGGCAGGAGGCTGAGGAAAGAACATTGCGGGCCGTTTGACCCCTTATGGGCGACAGGTTATAGAGTGCCCCACCTCGAAGTCTCTGATTAGAGACGCTCTCTTTGAGATGGAGAACATATCGGTCAGGAAGAGACATACCATTGACCTCAGGACCTGAGTTATATATTAGTATCAGCAGTCCGCGATCGCCTGTAGCTTCTGAGTCATGCTTTTGTGCCAGCTCCCCTCCCTACTCTAACTTCACGTTTGGGGGGCGTATCAACGCTCACCATGAGACATACGGACATGGTATCACCGGGGTATATCGGTACCGCCAAAGGCTAAGAAACTGTCATGGACTAGTACTGGCATGCAGTACCTTCATTCGAAACCAGGGTGGCATCTCTCGACCCGCAATGAAGGCCGTGACCTTTCTAAACGCCCTCCCGTGGGATGCATTTTAAGCCTCAAGGTGATTGACCAGAGTTACGGTAGCGCTGAAGTTCGCTAGACATAAACAACCTTTGAATGATAGCATCCGGTTGGTGTATGAGTGGGAGAGGTATAACATGTTCTTGGACGGCATAGTTTCAACGGCCACTGTGTACAATTAAAAGGGGGACAAAGAGGCTCGTGCTAGAAACTGAAACAAGACGCACCCAAATTCTATTGCCTGTACCCGCGCAGCCGTCACATACCCGCGATAGACACTGGTTACGGAAGGAAGGGTGGGAGGAAGGTTGGTCTGCACCCAAAAGGCAATAGCTTGAAGACATGACATGATGCCGGGACCGACCATGGCCGTCACTGTCCGTATCACTGGCGATCCTCAAACCGACGCAGACAGGTGTGTCTATCTCGAGATGATGGACAAGTATGGACGAAAAGATAGCACAGAGAAAATGATCACAGCTCAGACGACGGCACCAAAAAAGAGGAAACATCCCGTGAAGCGCCGAACTGGGCCTGAGCGGCAACTCCCGGATGACAGAATTTCGATCGCCACCCGTTCAAGCTCGCTGTATGTGGCACCTCGGGCCCGAGAAGCTGACCGCCTCCACCGATATTGTGCCAACTGTCTGCAGCTCGCATGCATCAGAACCTTATAAATCCTTAAACACGGTTCTATGCAGACAGACGAAACATGAACAATAAGCAACAGATAAGCACGTTTTATAATAATCAAACAATAGCACACTTGCATACTATCGCTGACAACAAATCCATCACCAATCCATCACAGTACAGATGAGCATACAGACTACGCGCACAATATACATACAAGCAAGCACAACCGCTATATACTCCGCCTTCCCGATCCACAAACACAACCACGATATGATAGCCCAAAGAACTTCTCCCCATAGCACCCAAAGCAAGCAGTATCATTTCCGTCCAAATGTACCCTTACTCATATACTCACAAAACCCCCAGTAATCCCAAACCCTTGATCGCCACCGCCCCGACAATGGCGACACCTGCAACCTTCCTTATCAAGGATCTCGCTTTGTGTTGACGGGCTCCGCGGGCGCCAGCGGCGTCGATGAAAGCAATGTCTTCAGGGGTGAGCTCTGTGTTCCGTGGTAACGAGAAGGACGGAGGAAGAGAAAGTGAACGAAGAAATAGAGGAAAGTACGAATCAGCGTGGCGAGGAGGAGAATGAAACAGGATGCAAAGTCGAAGGTAGTTAGTGGGTGGGGAAAGTGAGGAGAAAATCAACGACGTACGGAGGTCTCCAGCAGCGAGATATCCTTGCAACCTTTCTTTCTTGCTCGACGTTCTATTCAAGTCCAGAAAAATCGCATCAATGAGCAAATTCTAAGACATACACAGTGAAAAGAAAAGAAAAGGTGTTAAACGCACGTGACGACGACCGCGCCCTTCGCCTTCACCCACGCCAGGAGAACCTGCTCCGGGGTCGTCTCGAGCCGTGCCGCGATATCGTTCACAGGCTTATCAACTGGTCCGCCAGGTTCGGAGGTCAGAGGGCTTTATGTCCATTAGCAAGTTGCATATTGATAGAGATGGACGAGAAGAGCGCTTTTAGTAGTGAATTGTTGGACAGTCAAGAGGGAGACGGAGATGTGAAGGAAGGGATTGGTTGCGGTGTTACGGGATTTAATTGGTTGGATAGAGGATGCCGGGCAGGATACGAATGAACAGTCAAAGAGAGAATCAAGGCGACGCACATCAACGCGCTATACGCCTCGATAGTAATCCCATGCACGGCCGCAGTGGCGAGAATGGGTGCTTGTTGGAGGTAGACGTAGGGGTGAAGCAAGATCTGTTCACGGAAAGTGAAGGGAGGTTAGTGTTGGTGTCTCAAGGTCATGCAAATAAATGAATAAAATTGTCGGAAGGGAGCAGAGGACGGAGATGATAGGGGGTGGCGCTACGCCACATTGTGCGGGGCCAGGTAATTATAAAAGGCTGAGGTTATTTTTGGATGGGAGCTGCGTGCCACGGATTTGGAACAGGATGCGTTGTACATGTGGTTGAGCTGGGAGTTTTGCGAGCGCCATGATTGCGAACGAGACAGGGAAAGGCGGAGGTGCAAGGGAAGCAGAGAGTGAAGCACACCTGATTGGCAGCAGGCTTGACTTTCGCGGATGCGAGGAGCGTCTCCAGTTCTGCGACGCCAAAGTTGCTTATGCCAATACTCCTGCAACCCAAGAGTGCACATCCGTGAGAAGAATGGTTAAAAAACGGAAAGACAGACCACGAATGAGAATGACGATGGGAACGGAGGTGAAGTGGGTGTAGCTAAAAGGTAAGAAACGCACTTCGCCAGGCCGTCGCTCTTCAACTTCTCCATCTTCGCCCACGCAGTTGGGATATCGGGCGTGGCGAGGCGTGGGTGGTGGATGAGATATAGGTCGACGTAAGATACGCCCAACTATGCATGTTCCAACGATTAGGGACCATAACGAGTGGAAAGATATGGCTGGGAAATATTTGTGTACATTCTTCAAGCTGTTCTGAATACTCGTCTCGATATCTAGCCCATCCCTTCCAGAGAACTTTGTAGTGATGAAGACGTCAGAACGAGCAAGTCCCGACTCGTGAAAGGCTCTTCCAGCCTCTTCTTCGTTTCCGTATGCTTGAGCCGTATCTATACGCAAATGTGAAATCGAGCAGACGCTTCAGTCAGCTCTCGACACTGAGCATCGTTGAAGAGAGCACTGAACGCACCAATGTGGTCGAAGCCTACAGAGAGGGCCTGTTCTACTTGATCAATCGGACCCTGGCCGTTTCCAAGCTTCCAAGTGCCGAACGCGATGGTGGGCATCGCATGTCCTACACGAAATGGGAACATTCTCGTAAGATGAATTCACCAAACCACCGATAAATACGCGCACCATCGTTGAGGGTAATTGTGTTCCAAGGCATAAAAGGTGGTATTATTGACCAAGTATATGTCAGCGATGTGGTGGTCAAGAAGAAAGTCAGGGGCACCGTCTCAACGGGATTGCGGTGGGACCAGGGCTACATCCGTGGTTGAAATGGCACGCGAACTTGCACGATACCGGCATGATATTAGCCAGATTACAATTGCTCCCGTTGCCCGTGGATTGAAAGTATTTGAGCGTGCGCTACTCAACAACATGTAGTTATTGCGTCTCACTACAATTTATGGCTACCTGGCGCAATGGTAGCGCGTTTGACTTCGATTGTCTCTCGCTATCAAAAGGCTGCAGGTTCGAGTCCTGCGGTGGTCATGACGTTATTCTTGTCTCCGTTTTTGCTTCTTACCCAGATTGTCATGCAACCCAGGTTTAGTCTCGATGCTGTTCGACAAAGACCTTACGCCCTGTTTATTTGGCTGAAGCTGACAGGAACATGAAATAGATGTCGAATATGAACGATGTGTAGTAGTACAGTGTGCGAAGGGCCGCTGCGACAGAACGAACGAATCTACTCTAGACGTGTAGCCGTGCCCAGTGAATTCCGCTTAATCAGGAAGATCCCAAGCATATACCTTCCCGTTAGTATCACCATGGTATAAACGTTCCCTACACACGACGATCAGACTTCATGAGCGACGATTCTAAGTCTCAAATCCAGGCAAAGGAATCACTCACCCAACGAAACGCAACGACATAATCATCAACTTCTCCCTCCCCGTCTCCCGAGCCTCCAAGATCCTCAGCGTCACGAACTCCCACTTTGCCTTTTCGCCCTCAGGGGTTTTATCAGTATTCCAAGTCCTCAACGTGATTTTACCATCCGGACCGCCTGTGGCCAGGACGCCGAGATATGAGTACTCGCGCTCCAGGAAGGCGAGAGATGTGATTTGCGGTGGAAGGTAAGGAAGTGCAGAAGAATATGTGAGGTCGAGAGAAGCGATGGGTCGGGCGTTGACAGTGTGAAGACAGAGTTTTATACGAGAACAGGTGGCGATGTAGCCCTACACGCAAGACGCCCGTGGTTAGTCATTTACGAATGAGGCCGGTCAGCGAAGTAGACCCACAGTGCTCTCATTGACGCTCGCCAGGTGAACCTTCGACCCATCCACCGTCTCATCAGCTCGTCCGTGCCAGATACTCCTCACGTAGACCGCCTTGTTCAGATCCCAGATCGCCGCACTACCGTCCTCCGACCCACTGACGATAACAGACCAAGCTCTTGACGCCGTCACACACGACACTGGAGCTGTATGGACTCGTAGCGTACTCGTCATAGTGATGCCGGTGGTTCCAGGATGTGGAACTCGTGAAATGCGCCAAAGACGAAGGATATGATCGGATGAGCCTGTGATGAGATTGTCGGAGTCTGGGAAGGTAGCACAGGTACAGTCTATGCCCTCTATGACTTGGACGACCTAAATAGCGCGTAAGCGAAATAGACTTGGGAAAGGAACGATGTGAACATGCCTTGCGGTCTACAACAACTCTCAAACCCTCAGGTGCTGCCCTGCCTGTTCGACTCCATCCCCACTCGATTTGCTCGTGAGGAACAGAGGGCACTGACAACACTCCTTCGGGATGAGGAATGACTCTCTCGCCGATCATGTCAACCGTTAGATCCCGGACTGGGGTATCCGCTCCGAGATCTAACAACAAACAAACAAAAATTAAACTCAGCTACTACCTAAGATTCAACGTAGAAGAACCGCATGTCTTACCACGAGCAGCGGTCTTGACACTCTGGGTCAACAGATTATGATCCTCTTCGATCCCATGTAGTGTTCCGAGGGGCAGAGTTGAGAGACCATGGTTGAATCGTGGAGGATGAGGCACATTGAAGAGCTTTCTTGGCGTCTGTCCGACTAAGGCAGACATTTGTTAGATCCGACCATTGTAAAGTTCTTCGTAAATAGCTCACAATTATGGATGATTCCAATAGTCGCTTCTCGCTCGAGTTCGTCAGTGATGGTGTCCAAATCTGATAGCATGTTCAGCTCGTTGATCAATTGAAGACAGAGCTTCAGATCTCACCAATAGACCCTTCATAGCTCAAAGGATGAAATACATTTATTGCTGCAGGATCTTGTTGCTTGATGCCCCAGATAAGATCAATCCAAGCTGGTAATCGTTCGCTGACATAGTCGCTCTCTAAAGCCTAAGCATTCCGCCACATCGTCAGTTCTATAATCTTTTATTTTGACCGCTTTCACTTACCCGGCGATTGAGCGTGATGAAGAGCAGCGGGTCGTCCTTTGCCCATGGTGGCAACTTCACATGGTGTATCCGCTCGCCATTGGCCTGTTGAACACCAAAGTCGATATTTTTCGAGTTCTCAAGGAACCTGCGTGACATGAGTAGATGAGCTCAATACGAGAGAATTCACAGAAAGCAGTTCAAACGCACTCTGGACATGTGAAAAACTCTGGGATTAGTTCTCGAACATCTCCACGAACGTCCTTTGCGGCAGAATCATATGCGCGAGCGATGTTGCTGCCCATTACAGTCAGCGAGCAACGCCGAAGGAGAAGCAAGTGACAAACCTGAACAATCGGTCTGGTAGATCCCAGTCTCCACCCTGCGCACAAATCACCACCGACATTTAACGCCACAAACCACCATGAAATGTATTCAACGGCGCACCTGTAGTGTCTTGAACATACTAGTGAACGGAGCCAGTCTGATCAAGAAGTGGCAAACGATCATCGACGAGCTGAAGTGCGTTCCGTAGTGGAAAGGTCGTTCTCCCACGCTGGCTAGGCTGTCGTAGCGCGATGTGGCGGCTTCGCGGCGTGCTTCGGTGAGGGCACCCATAGGCAAGGAGAGACTTGGAAGGAGTATAATTACCATAAGGTGTAACGGGCATCATATAGGAAGTGTGCTCACTCTCGGAAGGTTTCCTGTTTTGAGAGGTCAAGAGTTTCGGAACTATAATCCTGTAATACCCAAGCTAGGGAACGTATAAGTACACCTGGGGAGTGCATATGTACGACATGTAAACTCACGCATCACAGGATATTGTGTAGCATCACTGGGAGTTCGACCTTAAGAACAAATCGTTCAGCTAATCGAGGCAGATATAAGAGCACCTGCAACTCACCGGAAATTTGATTGAGGATACTGAGGTAAGTGAACTGAGCAGCCATCGACGAAGTCAGTAAGAACGAGAGCTGATTATTTATGCCCAATATGACTCACGTTGCTCATTTCACGGGCTTGCCACTTCCGTTGTGCCCCCGACAACTGGTCTGCCCTGAACCCAGATCTCACCCTCGCACTCATGCGACCAATGAGTGGGGACCTGAGCAGACCGGGCGTAGACAATTCGTTATACCGTTGTCCATTGACGGTCAATGACAGTCTTTGGTTGGCCTCGGATCTCTGGCGCTTCGTGAGGAAGACTGTGAGCAACGACCGACTATCTTTGAAGTATATCTCCAGACTGAAGCCACCCAGAATTTCGAGATTAGAGTAGACTCCGGTGTGGGTAGTTGTAGAAAATCTTACGCCACGTCACGGAAGAGGAACGTCCTGTCACTAAAACTGGCCACTTGATCGTAGGTCCTGGTAGATAATCTCTTCGTCAATAAGCCGTGATGAGGTGAGTGAAGGCATCATACCATCGCTGAGCCCTCTGAATGCCGTCAAGTTCAACGAGACTCCCGGGGACAAAGAATAGCTCTTTCGGTGCGTCGTGAACATCAATGACTTCACCATCACTATTCTCGACCAAGCCGTCCAGCATGTATAGATGAGTTTTTCCAAAGATGAGAAGACCAGCTGGAAAGAGGTAGTTTTTGTCAGTGCAGATCAAGCATAAAGAATAATAAGACGAGCTACGTGAAGAGTCTACGCCACTAATACGGGCCACAGTAGCAACTGCCTCAATCACGTCTCCGGCCTCAAGATCATGTCGAACACGACGATGCCGATCATCCACGACTTCTTCCGCTAGCTGACGGTCCTCTATGCGCCATCACACTGGACGTCAGCAATGTGCGTAGATATTATTCGAAGCCGTACTAACCTTCAACGTCGGTCGCCGAGATCTCATAAGAGTCTGACCAAGGTGCTTCCACGCGGAACGTAGACTGCTCGTCTAGCGCTGGTGCCTCTAGGCCTCGCAGATGCTCGTTGTCGGTCGGCTTGAACCTCGACATCAGGTCGTTGTCAGCTTCGAGCTTCTTGCTATAGCATAACACATTAAACCTATGACACCATTGTAAGCCACCAAGGGTAACTTACCGAACTCTATACGGTCCCTCAGTTTCATCAAGTCGCCAGGTCCGTTCTTCCGGGATCTCCCAGAGCCCTCGCTCTGTCGTAAGTGGGACGATCCAGTCATTCAACCTCGATACTTGTCGGTGGTTCTCTCGCCTGGCACATACCCACACATACACTGTCAGGAGCTTCACACTCCAAAAAAATGATCAATCAACTCACAGATCAAGAACGTTCTTCCTCAGCCGTTTCTTCTCCGCCGTGATCACCGTCTGCCTCCACTGGACCATCCGTGCCATGGACTTTTGAATCGTTCGTTCGCTGACCTGAACGCTGAGTCTCGCGGATGAAAGTCGATTGAGCCTGCTCCGTTTATCAGAGACGAGAGAGGGGTCGATATCAGTGCTTCCAGGCCTGTCGCCGCTGGTGATAACCTCAGCGGACTTGATGACTTCAAGAATCTACCAACGTCACGTTTCAAATCAGGCAGTCAGAACCCAGGAATTTTCCTGCGAGGTGTACTTGGAAGCGCTCACCTCCGCTTTCTGGTTCCCAGCGACGACGTTGTCCATCGCAATCGTCACACCGAAATGCATCAACTTCTCCAGCATCCTGATCGTCCTCTGCTCGATCACGACAGCAGAGTTGAGTGCCTTGACAAACGACCTGAACGCCTGGACAAAAATCTCAATGGTCTGCTGGGACTTGTAGACCTGTCGGAACGTCGGACAGCTAAGTTGCAAGCTGAGTAACTCTTCGAGGAGAAGTTCCGCGACGGCTTCTGGCTCTACAATCACAGACAAAATGTCTCAGCGTTGTTTTCCTGGCGACGAGAAAGAGACTCACCGAGTGCTTTAGACTCATCGATCGGGTTCAAAGGTGGAACATGGTTTGCCACTACACCCAGTACCCTCTGCAAACTGGCAAAGACCGCAGGCATGATCTGTGGACACACCACCACCGCCGGTTCCTCCTTCTTCGCTCCACTCCTCCTCTTCCCATTCTCAATATCGTGCGCACTAGCCCCAGTCCTCCCCAGCAGAATCCTGAACGCCACCTTGTGCACACCTTCATTCCATGCATACGGCAACACAGTCCTCAACAGCGTCCAGCCACTGACGATTTCGAATTTTCGATTGAAGCTCCTCGATGCCGTCAGGCTCACATCAATCAAAGTGAGTACCTGGATGGCGACGACTGGAGTAGGACGGTCGCCCAGAAGGAGAAGGCAGATACGTGTGAGAGGCAAGGCGGAGGCAAAGGTGTTGTAATGAGTGGGTGAGTTGGAAAGCAGAGAAACTAGAAGGACAAGTATGCGTTCGGCCTTTTCACGCGTATGGTCTTGCGAGATACGCGAAACAACAGAGACAGGAGACGCTACCGCAGGAGCGCCTGTTAAGGCGTGAAGATCCATGTGCCAACAAGGTGAGCACGGTGGGACTAGGAGACGAGTAGATGGAATTTGACGTACGCTCATGTAAGTTCGCCGCCAAGTACGAAACGATAGGTTTGATAGTCTCATCAACCTTAAACATCCCCTTCATCGCCACCGCAATTACACCCTCCAACGTTCCGTCCCTCTTACCGGCACTACCCATCATCGCCTCCTCTCCGTACCAGCCCGTCTGCCAAATAAACAGCAACCGCCTAACCAAGCTTGGGCTCAGCTTCCCTATCCTCTGCTTGATATTGAACCTCTTGTGTCTGCTGCCTTGAATGAGCGTGGTGAAGTGTTGGAGATGCACGCGTTGGATGGGCTGAGGGGTCCGTGACCAGAGTTCGAAGTCGAGGGCGATGGTGCGATAGGCGAGTGGATTCGAGACCGTTGAGTTACTGACAGGAAGCGCGGATCAACGTCAGTAATGAGCCAACGGAAAGGTTCAGAGTAAAAAAGCGAGTCTCACTCAGGCGACCCAAATCTCAACCCAAGGAATTCAAATAAGGTCTCGAAACTCGTCATATTGATCAAGTCGGCTTTGCTCTTGAGCATGGCGCCCAGAATATCGTATCCTCCTTTACCAGAGGGACAGATCATCAATAAAAAGAAAAAGAATTAGATGTATCAAGGTAGATTCAGGACTCACGTATTCGCTCCATGTCCTCCGAGTTTTGCCAGCTAAACTTCAATCCGTCCGTCAAGATGCCCAGCGTCCTTGACAGCTCATGCGGTGTCTGCAATGCCCCACGAAAAAGCGAATCAGCCAACCAGCACTTGGGTGTTGTGAAAAACAAGGAGATGCGCAAAAGGATGGATCGTACCTGGGCCAGCTGCACCAACCTCAGCGCGACACCCGCCCCTCCAACCTCCCACATCGCCTGATCCACACACCTCGGCCTCACAGGCACCACGTCCCCCTCCTTCACAAACGGATTCCCTTCATCCACCCATACTCCATCTTTCTCTTCCTCCTCCGCACCTTCACCTGCACCTTCACCACTACCAGAACTCCTATTCATAAGATCGGTGTTCGGAAACACGCCAGGCGTGATCGAAAACACGATCGTATCGTCCGTGATCCCAATTCCCTCATTAATAGCCCTCAACAACGCCGCCGCCTCCGCCGCCGATCCCGCAATATTCGTAACTCCCCCATGTCTGGCAATAGTCTGTGAGGCATACGACATAGATGGGCTTTGTGGCGCCTGGGACGCATATGAATTCTGGCGTGAGAGTGCTTGTACTTGTGGCCCGCCACGAGCAAAAGAGTTTCCGTGCATCGTTGCAGGAGAGCCGACGGCAGGGGTGGAGGGTGATGAGGAGGAAGGCGAGGAAGAGGGTGGGGGAGAGGCGATGGCGGCGAGGTACATGTTCATGGAGGTGGAGGCATCGTAGGTTAGGAAGGTGGAGAGGTTGCGGGATTGGAAGGTGGAGGTGTAGCGTGCGGAGAGGTGCTGTATAAATCGGGGTAGATGGTCGCCTATTCAAGCCGACGCCACATACGATGTTCCGAGGTATGGAGGACACGTCAGGTTGATGTGAAATTGAGGCGTTCAGCATGTGCGTTCAAGAATGGGTCGCCAGAAGAGGCGACGTACCCAATGGTTTCCCAAGGAGACAACAACTCCCAAAGCTCCAGCTCACACTCGTATCCACATCTTCCGCCGCGTCGCCAATTGTATACGTCCCAACTTGCGAAACAAAGTCTGCTCGTGGGTAAGGCCAGTGCACGGTCTCGAGTGTTCCGTCAACGAATATACCTATAGCACAGTCATTACAGTAATCGTTAACCCAATATTCTCTTTCGTAAGAACTGTCCACGACGGAGTGAAGAGAGGAAATTGAAGGCACGTACGAACGCTTGGCCTCACTCCGCGCGCAGAATGATGAACCACCGTTACATGTATCCACTTCCCCTTCCCAATACTCGCATTCGTCGTATACTCCGTATTCCCCTCTGAGCTCCAGAGGTCCAGCCTCCCATCCGGACGCAGCGACACTTTGAAGACAGTATAAGCGGGAAGAGAGAAAGTGAAGAGGGAGTGGGACCGGTGGGTAGGCAGAGACTCGAGGCGGAGCCAAATCTAAATAGAATTATCACAAAGGAGAGTGTTCAGTGTTCAATCGTCCTTGGTATGTTATTTCGTTGAAGTTGGAACGAATGAATGCACCATGAAAGTAAAGCCATTACTAGGCAACCCCCTCACGCCCTCTTCCACGAACTTGACCGCCGCCCGTCCCTCCATCGAAAAATGTTCCGGCCATCGCATCTTCATCCCCGTCCGCAAAACTTCCAAGACCTCCGAATCCAAAGCATACTCCATCTTCCCCTGATCAACCTTCCCAGCCGGCTCCCCACTTTCCTTCGGATCTGTCCCGTCAGCACCCTTGCCCTTGTCTTCGATCCGCTTCCCAGTCGGTGGATGCGATGCATCCTTCTTCAGAACCACAACACTCTGAAAAATACCCCTCATCTCCTCCGTCCTCGCACCCATCTCCAACAACCTCCTCAGCAATCTCTGCATAACCTTCCGATGCTGGCTGGGCAACCGCCCCTCCGTGACCCCATCCTTACCCTTCCCCGTCCAGCATACCCAAACATCTCTCAGTAGACGATCCATTCCCGACCCACCAGTACTCATAAGAACACAATTCCGATGACTCGAGCTCGCTAGTCGTTCCAGTAGTTTATGGGCCGCGTAGTGCAGGAGAGGGTCCGCTGTATATGTGGGAAGGGTAGAATGGAGGAGTAAGAGGCCCGGAGGGAGAGCGATGCGGAGGGTCCGTGGTTTTGGCTGGGGTGACGGCGAACGTCTTGCGGTGGTGATAGTGGGTGTAAGGAGGGAAGATGATGACGATGATGATGCAGTGGCGGCGGTGGTGGAGGAAGTGGTGGACAGAAACGAGGTTATGTGCGCGTCGAGTTTTGTGTACGACTCGGCATCGAGAGTCTTGTTTTGTTTCGAGGAGGCGGTGCTTGTGAGGGAAGAGCGGATGGATGAGAATAGAGCGACGAAGGAGAAGTCGTGTAGGGCGAGTGAGAGGATGAGGCCGCGAGTTCGGTCGGAAACGGAGGTGCGGGGGTCAGACAGCAAGGGTTGGAGGGCGGTGGCGAGTGAGTCGTAACCTACATGACGCTGTGACAGCGGGAGTGAAGAAAATCAGTGATTTATCAGAAATGAGGAGAGTAGAGAATAGTATGGTGTGACGCCGTCTACTGTGGCGTAGATATACACTTACACTTCAACGAAACCGCGATTGATCTCGAAGAAGTCGAACCAACAGTACGTATACTCGTTACTGTGAATGAACACAAGTTGGCTCAAAGAGCTGCATGACAGGTCTTCCTAAGCACCGACTCATACTCATACTAGGAACTGATGTATCCCCGCACGCCACACATACTTCCAAACAATGACGGAAACTGTTAAACTCACCTGGAAGTATCTAACATTCTCTTCATGCTCCCACATCGCCTCCGACGCAATAGCAAACACCAACCTTGCACCCTCCATCATCTCCTCCACGACCTGTTCCTCTGGCTCAGCCACAGGACCCTGCCTGGGCGCGTGCAGCGCTGAAAGGGCGCCAATGATAGCAAGAAAGCCGTCTAGCTCTCTGAAAACATCTTTTGTAACGGGATCTTGTAAAAGAATACGATGGACCTCGGATAGCACCTGGGCAGCAACGACGACGAGTAAGATAACGGCAGTATAATAAGTCAAAGGTGAACGGCTCACCTCGACCTTCGACCTGATATCTTCAGTCTCTTTCAACCTCTCCACGGCCGTCCTCATGAGCTCCACCAGCACATCTCGAGCGAAATCTTCCGGGTCAAGCTCGTCAGAAGTCGGGGGCAGCGTCGGCGTTGCTACCACTCTCGGAGACGTGATCTCGAACGCTGCGCGAAGGGGTGTGAGGAGCGCGCTGAGCATGGCTCACGTCTAAGCACTTGTACTCTGGCACGGATGAAAAAATTCGTGAAACTAAAGGCGATATTCTTGGTCACTATGTGAGGGCATTTCTTGGTGGGGGTGGCTAGGAGACGCGGCTGTGGTAACGATGCGTTTAGTCGATGCAGTTGTGATAGGTCGCGATGTTGAGCGCTTGGGCAGTGTTCGATTTTACGTCACTGTGGCACGATTGTGGCCCACATATAAGCGTGTAAATGTCCCTTCATTTCCCTTCGTTCACTTGAAGTTTGGTCTCTCAGGCGCAGATGCAGTTCGCGTTCGCTTGGTCAAACAAAAGAAAAGGCGCAAGACTCCACGATGGTGATTGTTGAAAGATAGGGAGCAAATACGCTCCAATGACACAGAATATTTCAGGGATAACAACAGAACACATACAACACAGCAAGACGACGATAGCAAAACACAAACGATGAACAACATCGAAACGGGCCCTTAGTACCCTCAACTTAAAAAGCAAAGAGAGCGTTTGAAGGGTTCAGCATGTAAGGCTGGCGGTAAAAGAATGCAGACTGGCGACGCACCGAGATGAGACTAGTCGTAGTCAGTTACTTAGACTTTATAAAGTACCACAACGGCTGCTCCTCCTCCGGCAAACACAATTCCTTTCTTAAAATGTCAAGCACCTCCTTCGTATCCTGATCGTCCAGTTGGTGTTCTGGCAACGTATAGTTAGTCCACAGCGTAACGACGGTGTCATACTTCACATGCACAGGCGTCCACAATTTGAAGTCTATCCGCTCAAGGGTGACCCATCCGAGATAACGTTCGAGAGAAACGATACCACCGTTGATGTAGATATCTCTGTATTGTCTATTCTGACAACTGCTCAGCAGCTCCTCGTACGTGAGGAGTTCGACCCGTTTGACGTAGGCCGTCAGGTCAGCGATCGTTGTGCCGAAGCCAAGGGCCACTTTGACGGGTAGGCGCATCGCACTGTAGTCCACGGTGAGAGCAAGAGGCAACTGTTCCATCGGTTGCCTGGCCGCACAATATGCATCGTAGTTCTGAATGCTGGCCTGCACACAGTCAATGTTCGGATTCGAAGAGGACCAAGATGAGAACGTACCTCCTCATCCATTCCATCGTCAGAGCTTACTGAGCTACTAGAGTCATCCGAGTTATCGAAGTGGGCGTTGAAAATTTCGCCATACATTATTAGAGTAGCGTTAAGGAGATGGAGTGAGGCGATGATGGGAGAGTGAAGAGGGTGGCGGACAGGACGGCGCTCATAACTACTGTATAGCAGTTCGGGCCGTACGGGACCGGGCCTCTCACGCCCCTAACATCGCCACATTTGGACGTCCTTCTGTGGCACTTCGCTCTCTCAAGGCTGAGATATCTGGACCACGACGATCCGGCTTGTCGAGACTCGAGAGGCCCCGGGAAGCTCCACCAAGGGTCTCCCGAAAGTTAGCATATTTGAGGCCTCGAAAACGCTGATTTCCTCCCGGAAGTTAGCATATTTTGGACCCCTTCGAGCGAGTTCCTCCCGAAAATAGCATATTTTAGGGCCCAAGTCAAGGGTTGGGCGCCACGCACTGGGGCAGGCCGGACCCCAGATCTGAAAAATCACAATTTTTGGACTTTTCGTGTTCTCGGCGTGTGCCCAGCAGCTTTCAGAACCATTGCTGGTCTACATAGTTTTTTCGTTCTTTGGCGGGCCCCGAACTTACACCCAACAAGCACACTCGTGAGTCTGTAGCACCCACTTCGGATTTTTGCCCCAAAACTGGTCTATATAAAGTGTGGCGCAATGGTGTGGCACCCGATAACCCCTCCCGACTTTAGCATATTTGACCCCCCAAACCCACCGAAAACTTAGGGTGCATTCGGCAACCGAGAGCGGCAGATTCTCACCGGATTTCCAGCCACGGATTTCGTCCTCGGCGGCTGGCGCCGAGCCTTCTTCACACTCCGACACTGTCACGGTGGCTACGTGCTTTCGCCACCTCTTATGCGTACCATAACGATAACAGACGACCATTCCACTTTCTCGCATGAAGGCTTTCTGAAGCAGACAATCCCTACTCTGAAATGTTTGTTTCTTAATTTCATCTGCAGAGTCATGTTCTGCCGTGCGTTATGAGTCGGGAAGTACGTGACACTGACTGGCTCTCGCCACTTTGCCTACTAGCTTTGTCTGCCATGTGGCATCGCCCTCCCCTCATCCAGCATACGCTCTGGAGCCCTGATGATACCTTAATCGCGTGCTATAGTGTTCGTGATGAAGATTTGTGTACGAAAACCTCGGTTATACTTACACGG